GGACAGAGAGAGAAAGAGAGGACCGAAAGAGAGAGAGGGCAAGGGACAGAGAGAGCAAAAGAAAGAGAGAGAGAGCAGAGAGTAATAGACAGTAAAATAAGTGCTGCTATAGACTGGTATATAGTGGTAGATATTGATAGTAATGTTAATGATAATAACAGTAATAATAGATAGATAGATAGATAGATAGATAGATAGATAGATAGATAGATAGATAGATAGATAGATAGATAGATAGATAGATAGATAGATAGATAAAACACAACATACACTACAGTTCACACAGTATCTTAAAAAAAATACTAGAATACTAAATTAACACATCTACAAGATCAACATTACTAGGGGATAGAAAGTACTAAAAGCACTAGAATACTATTAAATTCAATTCAATTTCATTTATATAGAGCCACATCATGTCAGACCCTACTCTGAAGTTAAATACAGAAACCCAACAATTCCCACCATGAGCAAGCACTAGGCGACACAGGCAAGGAAAAACTTCCTTTTAACAGGCAGAAACCTCGAATACTAGATACTAAAGGAACAGTAGCTGTAATTGTAGGGGAGTAGGAACCCGGGGGGGGGGGTCAAAAACATTTGTTTTTGACTGATGTTCATTAATATGCTTTGTCCCTATTCAAATAAATAAATACATTAAATTAAATTACTAGAGGATAAGAAGTACTAAAAAGCACTAGAATACTAGATACTGAAGGAACAGCAGCTGTAATTGTAGCATAGAGTATGAAAGGAAAAAGCAGCCGGTTAGGCAAGGCATTTTTATCTATATAGCGCAATTCATACCAAGCGGCAACTCAATGTGCTTTACATTAAGACAAGACAGTTTACATCAGCATAAAACAGCTTAAAAAAACAAAGGAAAAAGCAGGAATATGTTTGTTACAGCTCCAGTGCTTTTGCAAAACCAAGATTACAGTGTTAAAAAGAACATATTGAAAAAATATTTTAAAAAGCTCAGCCATAAGCACATGAGAAGAGAAATGTTTTTAGCCTGGATTTAAAAGTGCTTTCAGTTGGGGCTGTTTTGAGTTCTGCTGGTAGCTTGTTGTGTGCAGCATAACAAGCTAAACGCTGCTTCACCGTGTCTGGTTTGAACTCTGTGCTCCACTATCTCAGTGTTTTTCAACCTTTTTTTAGCCAAGGTACATTTTTTCATAGAAAAAAATTACGAGGCACACCACCAGCCAGAAATGTTAAACAAATCTGTAGCTGCCTATAGTAACACTATAGTTATTCTTATTTTATTCTTATCTTATCTTAAGTGTCTTGAGTAGGAATTAAATAACACAAAAATGTATTTTTATCATATTTTATATTTCTTCTTTCGAATTGCACTTAACATGTCCACTTCAATATATAAAATTATGATTATGATTCTGATTTCTGATTCTGATTTTATACAAAATCTAGTCATAAGGAATTATTACATGATTACACCACCAGTCACTAGAACAGCACAGACACTCAAAAATTGAATATTATTTGCAGATAATTAATTCATTATCAAAAAATCTTTTTAGACCAATTAGGTGAAATAGGATGATTTTCTACGGCACACCTGACCATCACTCACAGCACACTAGTGTACCGAGGCACAGGGGTTGAAAAACACTGCACTATCTGACCTGAGTCAGTAGATCTCAGAGCTCTACTGGCTAAATCTCCCCGTTCTCCCTTTAGGAGAGTGCCAGGAGTACCAGGACTCGGTCCCGGCGGAGCGGACCCGGGTGGAGAGCGTGGAGCTGGTCCTCCCCCCCCACGCCAACCACCAGGTCAGCACCTTCGGGGGCCAGATCATGGCCTGGATGGAGAACGTGGCCACCATCGCAGCCAGGTGGGCTCAGTAAAGGGCAGCACTACGTTAAAACAGTTAAAGGAGACATATTATACCCTATTTCAACAAGTTAAGCTAGTTCCCTGGTGTCCTAATGCAATGTCTGTGACAAGCTTTGGTCAGAATCCCATAAGGATGAAGCCCAATAAGAAAAATATTTGGATGGAGAACGTGGCCACCATCGCAGCCAGGTGGGCTCAGGGGAAAGCAACACTACATTTAAAGCAGTTAAAGGAGACATATTATACCCTATTTCAACAAGTTAAGCTAGTTCCCTGGTGTCCTGATGTAATGTCTGTGACAAGCTTTGGTCAGAATCCCATAAGGATCCATAGGACAAACGTATAAGATCAATATAAAATGAGTAAAATATCTAAAATGATATAATATATATACAATTTTATTTAAATTTTATATAGATATAAAATGTTTATTTAATTATTTATTTGTTTGTTTCTTTGTTTATCTATTTATTTGTCTGTATATTTATTTATTTGTTTATTTATTTATTAATCTCTTGGGATGACTGCAGGTTCCATCAAGCATTATCCATAGGACATCTGTATAAAATATCTAAAATTATGTAATATATATATACAATTTATTACAATTTTATATATATATACATTTATTTATTTATTTATTTATTCATTTATTTGTCTATTTATGTATTTATCCCTTGGGATGATCAAGCATTATCCATAGGACATATGTGTAAAATGTATAAAACATCTCAAATGATATAATATATATAACATTTTATCACAATTTTTTATATATATATATATATTTGTGTGTATAAATCATTTTTATTTTATTTGGGATATATAAAGAATATAGAGAGACATACCGTCTATTTTCAAGAAGAGTACTAAAAGCAATTCAAATTTTTTTTTTTTGTAATTTATATTTTTATTTAGAAAGACAAATTTCCATCACATTCGTTGATTACAGCTTTTCCCATTTAAGATCGTACATGAGTATACTACCGGAATGTTTAAATGAATTTTTCCATACTGTCTTTCTAGTATTTTTACAGACTATTTCTAAATTTTAATTGTAAACAATAACAAAAATGAACAGAATTAAACAATAATGGGGATTGCACCATCTCAAGCAATAAAAAAACAACAACACAGGAACATACAAGGGGGGGGCACATACTTCTCAAGAACAGTCAAATGAAGTCAGATCTAGTCGGTTTTACATACTCAGTCCATTTGGTCCAGATCTTATAAAACTTTCCCTTTTCAACTTGGAGGGAAAAAGAAATCTTTTCCATAACATAAATCTGGTGAACAATTTCAATCCATTCATCGATAGTGGGTGGGTCTGGTTTTAGCCATTTCCTTGTGATGGCTTTCTTACTGGCTGCCAGTAGTATTGCCAGGAGTTTTTTGTCTGCATTTGTCCATGTGTCCAAATGTAAGTTACCCAAGTACAACGTTTCACATTTGAATGGAATCTTTACATTAAATACATTTTCAATATGTTTGTGGAACTCTTCCCAGTATGGTGTTATTACTTGGCACTCCCAAAAAACATGGAAGTGGTTGGCTCCCTTAGACCCACAGAGCCTCCAGCAGGCGTCATCGTTGTTTTGATATCGTCTCTGAATGGGTGTAACAAAAAATCGTGCAACATTTTTCCAACAAAACTCCCGCCATGTGTTCGATCCAGTTGAGACCCACTGCAGTTGACATATTTCTTCCCAGCCTTCTTGTGAGATTTTAACCTTAATTTCCTTTTCCCATTTCCTCTTTATGTATTCTGTATTCTCATGTTTAGACAGCTGTATGGCATTATATAACTTTGAGATAATTCTACTGTCTGAACTGGGTTTAATTAGTGATAAAAATGTCTCCATGAAACTTGAATCACTCTTCCTCAGCCCCTCTTTAAAATTTCTATTAAAATAATGTCTCACCTGCAGGTACCTAAAAAAATCCTCTTTCTCCAGTCCATGATCCTTCTGTAGGGTTTCAAAACTCTGAAATATCCCTTTATGGACAAATGAATAATAGGTAGTTAATCCTTTTGAGATCCATAACTTAAATCTATTATCAATCTTATTAGGTGCAAAATCTGAATCGTAGGCACACCACCTCATAATTTTAGATGTTTTTCCTATTCTGCAGATTTTAGCCAATTCCTGCCAGGACCTGGGAGAACTACCTGTAATGGAGTCCTCTGGAATCTGCTGTTCCTCTTGTAATTTATGATCACCGAGTAGGGCTGTTATTGGGATTCCTTTTATTGTTGTGCTTTCTATTTCCTTCCATGCTGCGGTGTATGATGATGAGCACAGGCAGACTAAAGATCTCAGCTGGGCTGCGTGGTAGTAATCCTGCAAACAGGGAAGGCCCATTCCACCCTTTTCTTTTTTTAGTTGTAAAGTTTTAAACTTAATTCTGGCCTTTTTACCCTGCCATAAATATCTCGCTATTAATCTATCCCATTCTGAGAACTGTTTAGGTGGAATTCTAACGGGTAAACTTTGAAATAAGTACAGTAGCTGTGGAAGGAGAGTCATTCTAATGGATTCTATCCGGGAGCTCAAACCCAAAAAGGGAATAACATTCCATCTATGTAAATCTGATTTTATTTTCAAATTTAGTGGGCCATAATTTATATCAAACAGTTTTGAGAAGTCCCTCGGTAGTGACACACCCAGATATTTGATAGACTCAGCCTCCCACTTCCAGTTGTACACAGTCTTAATTGAAGACGGTGGATCATAGTTAAATGTTAATACTTGAGTTTTATTTATGTTAATTTTGTAACC